AACTCGATGTTGGTGGCTTGGGTTTTCAATACCGTCGATCCATCACTGCGTTCAACTATCATGTATATGAAGACGGTAAAAGAACTTTGGGATGATTTGAAGGAACGATTCTCAATTGGCAATGGACCACGAATTTATCAGATTAAATCCGAGCTTGCTAACTGCAAGCAACATGGATAGACTGTGGTTGCATATTACGGAAAATTGAAGGTAATGTGGGACAAATTAGGAAGCTACTCTAGGGTGCTTGTGTGTACATGCGGGTGCAAGTGTGGAGCGGCAACTGAGTTAGTTAAAGAAAGAAAAGAAGAGAAAATCCATCAATTTTTTATGGGTTTGGACGACGATATATTTGGAACTATGCATTCTGACATATTGAGTATGGAGCCAATTACAAATATGAACAAAGTTTACTCAATGATCATACAAGACGATCGGCATCGATCGTTGGCACGAGATAAGGAGGAACGGGCAGATGCTATTGGTTTTGCAGCACAAGCCTTGCAGATATCGCGAGACAGTAGAGCCGCTTCAAAAGACAAATCAATTGTATGTAACAATTGTGGTCGATTTGGCCATGAAGCAAAGAATTGCTTCCAATTGATTGGATACCCTGAATGGTGGGGAGATAGATCCCGCGGTATGTCAGTCGGGCGTGGAGTGGGACGAGGAAGAGGGGGAGGATCCTCTGGTGGACGAGGCTGAGGTACGACAAAAGCTCATGCTGCTCAGTCATTAGCGGGGCGTGAGATGGCTGCTAATGCTACTGTGACTGATGGAAATCAGACTGCACTGAGCAGGCTTAATGACGAGCAATGGAAAACTCTTGTAAGCATGCTTAATGCTTACAAAACCGGGACTAATGAAAAACTCTCTGATAAGAAATACTCCACTGAATGGATTATTGACTCTAGGGCGTCACATCACATGACGGGGAATTTAAATATGTTCATTGACACCTATGATGTTGCACCTTGTCCTGTTGGGTTACCCAACGGTGCACACACCAAGGTTGTGAAATAAGGCACTATTGTACTTGGAAATAATTTTAAATTGCTTCACATATTATATGCCCCAAAACTCAATTGTAATTTATTGTTAGTGGGTCGATTACTTCATGACACAGATTGTATTGTGACATTTACTAATAAGTTGTGTGTGATACAGGACCACATCTCGAGGACTCTGATTGGTGCGGGTGAACAACTTGATGGGGTCTATGTCTTCAAGGGTGTGGTGCCAGTTCGTGCTTACAAGATAGATGGAGTTGGGTCATGTGATTTATGGCATAGGAGATTGGGACACCCTTCTTATCAAACAGTTAGCTTGCTTCTTAATATCAGTAATAATAATAAGAATAAAGCATGTGATGTTTGTTTGAAGGCAAAGAAAATTAGAGATGTTTTTATTCAAAGTGGCAATAAAGTGACTGATTGTTTTGCATTGATTCATTGTAACTTATGGGGTGCTTATAGAGTACCTGCATCTTGTGGTGTTATATATTTTATGACAATTGTTGACAATTTTTCTTGAGCGGTTTGGATATATTTGTTGGCTGAAAAGAGTGAAGTTGGTCAAACACTCAAAAATTTCTATGCAATGATTGAACGACAATTCTATAAGAAGGTTAAGGTGGTGAGGAGTGATAATGGAACAGAGTTTAAATCCTTAAAATCATATTTTGACAAACAAGAAATTTTATTTCAAACTTCTTGCGTTGGAACACCACAACAAAATGGTCGTGCGAAGAGGAAACATCGTCATATCTTGAATGTGGCCAGAGCACTCAGGTTTCAAGCACATCTTCCTATCAATTTCTGGGGTGAGTGTGTTTTGACCGCAGGGTACTTCATTAACCAGACACTTTGGACCCTTCTTGGTGGTAAAACACCTTACGAGATGTTGTTTGGACAAAGTCCATCTTATAAACATCTCAGAGTTTTTGGTTGTTTGTGTTTCTCGCATACTCGGGACCATGACAAATTCGCCGCTAGGAGTGGGAAATGTATCTTTGTTGGGTACCCTTTTGGGAAAAAGAGATGGAAATTATACGATCTTGAGTCCGGTGAATACTTCATCTCACGAGATGTGATGTTTAGTGAGGCCGAGTTTCCTTTTGCCACTCCGGATCATCAACCCTCAATAACCAATTCTCCCATAGTCACGGAAAATGTTGTGTTGCCTTTGACTGTCCAACCACCAAACACTATGACCACTCCTCCAAACATGGTATCTGATTCACCCCATATAGAAGTGAGGGGGAGCGACACAATGGATGAAGAAAGATGTCAGAACACGGGTAACGATGTTGAGGAAGGTCCTTTTGATGAGACAAGGAGCCTTACAGATTACAGGAATAATGAAACTCACAGCCTACCACGGAGTTATTAGGCCGTGGACATCAAGAAAAGCGAACCCCCGACTATTTACAGGACTTTGTCACACACTCTACTCATCGTTTAGACCCCTCAGTTGTTTCTCTTGTATCATCTCAGTCCTCAGATACTCCTTATCCCATAGCTCATTACGTAACGTATGATAATTTTTCTATGAAACACAGACATTTCTTGGCAGCTATTACTGTAGGCCGAGAACCTATTCATTTCTCTGAGGCAATAACTGATGCTCGGTGGCGCAAGGCTATGCGCCAAGAGATACAAGCGTTGGAAGACAATGGGACATGGACCTTGGAAGACCTTTCACCTGGGAAAAAGGCAATCGAGTGTAAATGGGTCTACAAAATCAAGTACAACTCTGATGGCTCCATTGAAAGATTTAAAGCACAGTTGGTAGTCTTGGGCAACACTCAAGTTGAAGGTCTTGATTACAACGAGACCTTTGCCCCTGTGGCTAAAATGGTCACAGTTCGAACCTTCTTAACAGTTGAAGCGGCCCAAAATTGGAAATTGCATCAGATGGATGTCCACAATGCTTTTCTGCACGGCGATCTCCATGAGGAGGTCTATATGAAACTTCCTCCAAGATTTTCAGCCTCTGGGACTAGAAAGGTATGCAAACTCCGAAAATCTTTGAATGGTCTACGGCAAGCTCTCCGGAATTGGTTTTCTAAATTAGCTACTGCCTTGAAAACCTTTGGATTTGCTCAGTCCTATTTTGATTATTCCTTATTTACATATCGCAAGAATGGGCTTATCTTGCACGTCTTGGTTTTATGTTGATAACTTGATTGTTGGTGGAAATAACCCAGAGTTCATACTCAAGTTTAAACAGTATATGCATCGTTGTTTTCACATGAAGGACTTGGGTGTTCTTAAATATTTTTTGGGCATTGAAGTGGCTCGCGGACCATCTGGGATATTTCTTTGTCAAAGGAAATATGCACTTGATGTTATTACAGAAACGGCTTATTGGGGTCCAAACCTGCTCACTTTCTTATTGCTCAGAATCATAAACTTGCCCTTGCTAACGACGCACTCCTGGGTGATCCTGAACGATATCGCCGTCTTGTGGGCCGTTTGATTTATTTAACCATTACATGGCCGGAGCTCAGTTATTGCGTCCATGTCCTGGCTCAATTCATGCAATGTCCTCGTGTGGATCATTGGGATGCGGCATTACGTGTGGTTCGTTATCTAAAAGGACATCCTGGTCAAGGGATATTCTTGCACTCTGATAGTGATCTGCAATTGTATGCCTATTGTAATTCCAACTGGGCGAGTTGTCCTTTAACTCGTCGCTCTCTTATTGGGTATTTTTTCATGTTGGGATGTTCCCCCATTTCCTAGAAGACTAAGAAACAACATATTGTCTCCCGTTCCTCTGCCGAGGCTGAATACCGATCAATGGCTACTGCCAATTGTGAGTTGAAGTGGCTCAAAGGTCTGTTGTCGTCTTTGGGTATATCTCACCCTCAACCTATACATTTGTTTTGTGATAATCAAGCTGCTCTGCACATTGCTGCGAACCCTGTCTTTCATGAGCGAACCAAACATATTGAAGTTGATTGTCATTTCATTTGTAATGAGCTCCAAACTGGCACCATTGCACATTCTTACGTACATACCAGTGAACAACTTGCCAACATTTTCACGAAGGCTCTCGGATAGAAGCAGTTTGATCTTTTCCTTCCCAAGTTGGGCATTCGTAATCCTCATGCACCAATTGGAGGGGGAGTATTGGGTGAGATTCCTAGGAGATCCTCTTCACCTATTTTAGGCAAGAAACTTCATAGAAAATCTGTATATTTTCTGTACAGATTCTTAGCAGTTTTTTAGGAAGCTTTGTTTTTTAGAAGTTTTGTTTTTAGCAGCTTTGTTTTTTTAGGAAGATATTCTGTATATTTTCTACATATTCTTTTTGGAAGTTAGCAGTTTTAGAAAGTCTTTTTGATTATAAAAAGTTGCTTTTAGAAAGGTTTTGATTTAGAAAATTTTGTATTAGGAAAAAGAGACTCCATCGAACTTGTATATATACCACAAGATAAGACTGAAAAGAGTGAACTTTTGGCTCCCAAAATTCTTTCATTATCAGAAGATTGTGTGCCTCTTTATAGTTGAGACAATAGGGATGAATGTTTGGAGAGGTTCAGGTTTCCAACCTTTCATTTGACTCCACTAATCCACCTACTTTGGGACTACAGCTGCATCAACCAGACAAATGATGTTGATTGATTTGGCACTCAATGGGTGTGGGTGCAAAAGTTGACAGAATTTGAACCATTAGGAGTTTTTATCATTTGACCCATTTTATCCATTAAAAGACAACAGTTACAAACACAAGTCATTCAGTTCAGGCGCTTCAGCTGCTTTTTTTTTTTTTTTGAAAAGGTAAAGTAGAAGATTTATTGATGATGGAAAGTTACAGTACAACAGCAACCTGGTGAGAAAACACCAGGAGAACTACAACATTACAGACCCCAAATGGAATGGGATTCCAAGAGCTGAAAGTCATTCTGATTTTTAAAACTTGATATTACAGAAAGCCAAGAAGCGAGCCCATTAACCACCATCTTGAGCAGGTCATCAGGACCTATAGATCTGTTATGGAAAACGACTGTTACTTTCAGACCAGACAATAACCAGGACAGCAGCAGGGATTGTTTTCCAGACCAACTTCCCTTTCTTGCTCAGACCAAAAAGCTTCCAACTACACAGCAAAGCCTTAACAGACCGAGACATAACCCAACTGAGACCTGCTGAATTGATGAAGTGCTCCCATAACCTAGCAGCCAGAGGGCAATGAATACACAAATGGTCACAAGATTCAGGAACCAGACCACAAATGCCACGGCTCTGATTAGGGATATGAACCCCAAGCTTGCACAAATTGGATCTACTCAAATATTTATCAAGGGCCAGAACCCAAACCAGAAAGTTTGTCTTAGAATGACTGGTAGAAACCCAGATCTGCTTACTAGGGAACCCCAAATTAGCTCCTTGGCTCAGCTTCTCAGCCATAGATTTGACTGAGAATACCCCATCACCACTCCATTTCCACTTCCATTCATCATCCACTTAAACAGAAATTTGTTGATTCTGTAATAACTTTAGAAGTTCTAGCAGTTGCACCATTTCCCAATCATAGAGATTCCTTCTAGAAGTTCAGGCACTTCATCTGTTTTCAGACAGTCCTTTAGGGGCTTTAGTTTTCTCCTATCATATTTGTTTCTTAATGCCAAAAACTATAACCAAAAGAGTGTTTTCAGTGTTGTGGTTCAATAGATCACTGAAAATGTTATATTCAAAATAACTTGAATTATTATTTTGTCATGTGTAAAAGCTACCATGCATACTGAAACTTGAATTAAGATAAAACTATGATATTGCATCATGTATACTGGGTTTCATGAGCTCGGGCCTGGGCATTTTCTGTTACTAAGTGGTAATGTCCATCCCAAACCCAGTCTAAACCCAGCTTGTGAAAAGGTCTAATCATCAATGAAACATTCATTCAAATTGAACATGATTCAAAAGAATTTGGTCAGACCTGTGAACATGTCTGAACCCAGCCTGTGAACAGGTCTAATCTGCTTGACCTGAGAGTTCAGCATTTGGTGGGACCAAATGACAATAAGTGCAATGAATGTGGGTGTTATTAACAGAATTGAAATAATTCAGTGATGCCATTGTCAATTCATATGGTTTTACTCCCATCTCACCCACAGTCCATGGTCCAAAGCTCTATAATTGCATTTTGATAGGACTCTTCGCAATAAATCTCAATTAAATATAAGAAATTTAATAACTAAATCATATTTTAAATATTATTTATAAACAAATAAATAGATTAAATACTGAAATTATATAATAACTTTAAGAAATTTAACAAAATTACAAAAATAATTATAACAGACACCAGTGGGGATTCAGGACTTTGTTAAGTAAAAGTTAATTAATAGAAATACATAAGAGTAGACAATTGTTTATAATTAATTTTTAAATAATAAATAATTATTATATTTTGTATACAATTTTTAATAATTATTTTGCAATACAAAAATAACAATAATTAATTTCAGCTAGAGATATTCATCAAACTGATGAAACTGACTAAACTGATCCAACTCGACCCAAGTTGGTCACTTTCTAGTATTTTCGTCGGCTTCGATTCAGTAATTTCCCAACCCGACCAAGTCAGGTTAGTTTCGGTTTGGTCATTTGTAAAACGACCAAAATTGAATTAACCCGATCATAAATATATATTAATATTTTATATTCAAATATAAGTTTCTTAATACAGGAAAGTGGGAAATTTCTCATATTTCTTAGTCTAAAATATTTTATATTGTAAACTTAAATTTTTAAACTTATTCTTTTAATAATATCATTGTCTTTTTTAAATGTAATTTAATTTTTTAAGTTTAAGTCTTTTGAATTGACCAACCAAATTGAAAACTAGTCCAAATTGATACCAATGTTTTCAACCCGCCATTGACTCGGCCAATTGAACCATTCGAACCTTCACCTGACCTTGATTCCGGGTTTAGATCTATTGAAACCCACCCTATCAAGGAAAAATAGTTGACTTGGTAAAAAACCATCTGACTTGGAGGGTTCAATTGTTGACCTATTCGACCTAGTCACTGGGTTATAGGTTGCATACTTAATGCATGTGCAAACTTTTGGAGACCATAACTTTGTACTCCGATGTACGACTTAGGTGATCATTTTTTTATTTTGGGTAACTTTTCGAGATCCGTGCGTCTTAAGGTGTCGTGGGTGCCTTGATCTGCTATTTTTGTGAAAAAAAATAACTTTTTGTCCTCAAATCACAAATTTTAACATTTTTTATAAACAAAATAAAGTAAAACTAAACTAAAAAATAAAATAAAATATAAAATAAATAAAACATAATTATACACTATTTATTGATAAAATTTGTATAAGCACACATATATACATGTATGCACATTATATGTATATATATATATATATATATATATATATATATAGAGCGCTGATGTGGAACGGTCTAACCCATTTGACCAAGATGGTTGAACTGGTGACTGACCCAGATGCAAAAGCAGGTCGATCTTCAAGTTGGTTTTAAAAACATTTGATAGCTATAAATATATAACCCTAGCAAGTGCACTAGTTATCAAGTAGTATAAAAATATCGTTCCCACGGGGATTTAACAAAATAAGTATTAGAACCACCRTCTTCCCTAATTATCTGGACAATCGAATTTTAGATTTGAGCAAGATCTACTGAAAATAAAAACTAGAGAAAGATAATAGAAACAAAGGCGATTACTAACCG